AAAATTTGAATATTATAAAAAATTGATTCTTTATTTTCAAATTAAACATTTATAATTTTTTTAAATAATCTTATTTTTTATATTTTCATTTTATTTTATTTATTGGTTATCAAATTATGAATAAAAATTATAAAACAATATTAGTTCAAAGACTTTTGCAATGAACTGTATACAATAATTTTATTATTTTATTAACATAAAAAAAAATTCTTTTTAATACAACTTTAAATAGTTTTATTTATTGTAAATATCATCCATATTTGTAATTATATTGTTGGTGATGAAACGTTTTATACACATGTAAATAAAGTTCTTTTTTTATATCCAATGAATAATATATTAATCCACGGGCCCTGACTTATGGGTCCTAAAATATCCATTTCAATAGTGTAACTAATTTATATTATGCAATATCAGTATAATGAGGCTATGCGATTAGCCTAAACTTAAATTGTTAGATTCTATTACAACAGAAGGATATTATTTTACTTTTTTATATTTTTTTTACGTACAATAAATTATTATGAATCAAGGTGTGCCAAAATGATAGACTTGTTTTTTCAGTAAACGTTGATCGAATCAGATATGATCAATTGGCCAAGGTCGTACATAACATAATTTTGATGCAATGTTCATGAGCCTCTTTCTCATTAGTAATTTTCTTATTTGACACATTAGTCGTTTCCTCATCTGACCCGTATTACACTATAAATGGTATCTGTATAACCGTTTCTGATTTATATTCATGGATGGAATGTGCAGTTTTTCCGTCGGAAAACATTTATGTTTGTGTTATTTTATTTATTTTACTATTGTACTCAAACAATTAACATATAGTACGATATCAATATAATTACTATAATTGATCCCGGAATCTAAGCGAGTCGGGCTCCCATCATAATTTGATTATATCGGGCAAAATGATTCGTGGGTAATCAACTTTGTTGTAATTCAACCTTGTGCTCATATATAAAAATTTTTTTGGGAATTGTTAATTGTTACTATAAGTCTAATTTTATATGTTGACGATATTATCGATATTAGTTACATATTTTTATTTATTTATTTTATGTAGTATTGCAAGATCAGTCTTAGATCGTTTTACATCAATTCGAAAATTTTCTAGTATAAATTAAACTTTATTCCCGCCCTCCTTTTTTCCCTTCTCTTTGAATTTTTCTCCTTTTACCACTAATTCCTAAAAAAAAAAAAAACTTATCATTCGAAGCGAAAATTTTATTTTTCTTTTTCTTTTTTAGTGTACGTGTAAATTTTCTCTAATATCTTGGTACAGTCCTTCTCTTTTCTTTTTTCCCCTAAAACTCTTTCAAACTGGATAACCTTGTCGAAAATAACGGTAGCATAATGCCGCAAAAAAGAAAGGCATCGACTATTGCGTCGGCCAAGATTGCGGAGGATGCAGCTACTAAGGGTGGTAGTTCAAGAAAACGCAAGTCCGATGCCTCTCTAAAGGACAGTAGCACCAACGGCAACGGAAACACTCACGAACAAGAACATCAGCATACTCCCAATAACGATGAAATCGTTATTGAAGAATCATCGTCAAATAACATTGACAACATTTCCGACTCGGATGCGCCACCGGACAAACGTAGGAAGAAGGATGAAGAAATCGAATCCCATCAAAACAACGGTAATATTAATGGGCATACCCCTATTGATGCTGCTGATGCTACCGATGCTACCGATACTGCGGCAATAGACCTCAAACGAGACGACATGTCGTTTGTTCTTGCATCCCAACAAAGTCAGGACCAAATGTCTATTGACGACTTCATTAAACAACCCGAAAACGAAAGTGAACATGTCTCCTCTGCTCCAAACGAAACCGAACCCAGTATTGACGATCACGTGACAAACGGGGCGCATGGTCAAGAAAGTAGCGACAACAATTTGTCTTTCGATAATGAACACCATTCTCAAGAAAATAAGAGGGAGCTTGATAATAGAATGTCGAAGAATGTCTTTGAAAAAGGACATATTGTTTTCCTTTACAGACCGAAGGTATGTCACGTGAATTACCAAATTCAGGTTTTATGGGAATTTATATGCAACCAATTAATTAAATAGATCGGAGTTGAACATCCGGAGAGTGTCGATGATGTACAACGATTGTACATCATTCTCATACCACATTTTGTTCGTCCGTCCCTAGAGGACGAACCAATTCCAAGCTTAGCCCATCTAATTTCCCACGATAAACAGGTGGAAGAAGGGAAACCAAAATTAGGAAAACCCCGATCAATTATTATCGGCAAGAAGCAGCTTCCCGAAATTACTAAACATGAACGATTTTGGGCTTTCGTTGTAGGTTTCATCTATTTTATTATTTAGTTAATTTATTTCGGTTAACCAATTAGATTTGTTTTGGATTTTTTTTTTTTTATAATACTATCACTTAGGACGAGCCATTTGATAATTTGAATGATATCAAAGAATTTGTTCGTGGTCAAGAATACACTCCTGGACAAAATTTGTCTTGTAGGCTGTTGGTAAGTAATCTATTGTAGTTCTCTTTTTACTTCTAAGGCATTTATTTAATTGCATTCGTAATTAAAATTAAAAATTATAGGGGCGAGGAGTCTATAATATAGTTGAGCACAGAGAACAATCACATTTGGTATATGTTCTTGAGTTCCCAGAAGAGCCAACTAAAATTCATGAAGGTTTCAAAATTGTTAAAGAAGGTATATACTGCGAAATATGATATTTGTGCATAATTTATATCTTTTCTCATAATTTTTATTTGATTTAAAAGGTTCTTATGTAATATCCGTTAAAAACCCTGAAATAAAGAACCCTCCCCAAATTGGTCTACCCGATTACGAGCAAGTTAAATTTCCTTCTCATTTAGAAGAACAATTCCGAGGAAGGCGTTTTATGCCCTTGACATCAACTGAATTTCTGGACTATAAAGGCTGCGAATTTTTGCTAATTGGTGCTAGTGATGATATTGTCGGAGAACTTGGCGAAGAGGTTGGAAAGGAACTCGAAGGTAATTTATTTTGTTTGTTGCTTTTTAAACTTGTATTATTTCTTTTTTTTTTTAATCCCACCTCATGTGCTGTGCGACGAAATAGATCTGGCCGAATTGGAGATAAAATCTGTTGAACCGTTTGCTGAGAAAGAAATCTTTGACGAGCTTCGTCTGGAAAAAGGAATTATCCCTACGGAGCCCGCTTTCCATGGCATGTGGAAATAGACCGAGAACAAAGAGGAAATTCTGATAATAAATGGTCTTTTCTCTTTATTCTCCTGTTTTCTTTGCTCTTAATCTAGCCTCCCAAATTCGTAAGAAGCTCACGTAATCTGCAAATTTAAGTATTTGCTTTCTCTAAACCAACAAAATAGTCACACACATATATTGTATTAATCTAAAAGTATATACCAAATTACAATACCACGAACATTTAAATAGTAATGATACGAACAATGAACAACTCTTTTTGTTATAGGTTAATTTAAGGTTATCTCGTCGTTGATATAATGCGCTATATACATTTTTTTGAACTTTTTTTTTCGATAAACTTTTACTTAAATGCACGGTACAGCTTATGAGTTTGTATCTAAGAAAATATATTGCGTCAAGTTTAACATTATAATAAACTTTAATGCAAAATATTTGCTTTGTTTTTTTTTATATTATATAAATATTAATTTGTCAATAATCTTTAAATGCAGTAAAGTTGTCACATAAACCACCCCTTTATAGTAGGCCCACCTTCTTTTTTACTAATTAACTTTTCTGATATAAAGTAACAATCCCGGGATAGTTTATGCGACAATTTCCAGTAATATATAACTTAAATAATTATTAAGTTTTAAGTATTAAAGAATTTGTTCTATTATATATATTCTAAATTATTATTATTAAGCTACAATTACAGTATGTAATTATAGTGTCTTTATTGAGACATGAAATAAATATTTACTATTACATGATGACTAACTTGTTATTATATATTATTAGTTAAAGGATTACATTACTTTAAAAATATAAAGAATTTACTAAGCTAATTTGAATTAAACAAAACAAAGTCTTAATTAGATACTCTAAGTCAAATTTAAAGAATAATATTTTGTTTTTCTAATAAATTAGTATTATATTTTATTTCTTTAAATAGTTCTTATTCAAGTTAACAAATTTTTTTAAAAAATTTTGTTTAATTAAAATATTTTTTTTCTTCTAATAATTTAAAAAAATTATTTATTTTTATATAAACTTTGTAAAAATATTTGAAAATTTATTTTTTTATTAAAATATAAATTTACTTATTATATTTTTAAGATTAATATTATATTATAAAAAGGTTAATTTGATTGAAATAAAAAATTTTTTCAAAAATCTATTTAATTAAAATATATACAGTATATTTGATAAATTAATATATAATTAATTTTTTTTTTAAAGTATTTGAAGTATAAGCTATTTATTATAGTATATATTAGATTTATCAAAAAATTTTTATTTTATTTTATTTTTTTTTTAACTTGCAGTCAAGTTAACATGGTATGTTTTTATTGTATATATGCTAGATATTTACAAATTGTTGTGATTTTTACATACTAACTCACTTGTCATTGAAAAACTATTTTTTTAAATATAACCTAAGGAATGATATTTCATTTCTTTACTAATTTGGATAACTTTTCTAATTAATAAAATCATTGTTTACAGATTATTATTATAGATTATGCTAAGTTCTGTCTATAGTTAAAAATCAAATCATTGGATTCTATGACAAATTCAATCCTTAATAATCGCTGTGTACTTATTTCCTTCTTTTTCTTTAGTGCCTTTTAGGTTTAAATTCTTCTGAGGTAGTGATGCTGCTTCTTAATCCTATTCAGTTTGTATAATCTATACTTGTGTCTTTTATTTCTTTTATATTTTTCGATAATTTTCTATTTCTTTTTCTATTTTATAACTTTAATACAATAATTATTTCAGATCTTCTTTTTGAAGTTTCCTCACATCTTTTGATAGAGCTTTCTAATTATATTCTATGTAGTTGCAGGTGGAATCTTGAGTTGCTCTTTAAGATATTTCTTTAAGAAGAAGGTCTTATCTTCTTCTATATATTTATAGATAATATTAAAAAGATTTCTATTAGATTTTTGAATCTCTTTCAACCATTTATCTGTCCAGTCATTTATTACAAAATAAACTTCTTTTTTATTTTTAACTTTTTTGCTAATAAATTTATAAATCTTTTTATTTGCTTTTTGATATATGTCTTCCCTGGTTTCTTAAATTACTAAACATTCAAAGAGATATTCTCCAATTTTTTTCTTATTGAACATTTTGATGAAATTTTTGATACCAATTTCTATTGTATATTCTCTCTATATAACTATTGTGAGAACTCTTTTTAGCTAATGCCAAGTTATTAAATTCCCCTGCCTAGCCTGTTTAATAAGAAAATCTACTTGATTGTTAAATCTATTGATTTTATGGGTTTTGACCTTCAAGATTTTCAAATTTAGGTCTTTCTTCTTCATCAGGTCTTTAATTTTATTCTACAATGGCTAGTTGATAGTTTTTATCCATTTTCTTATTAATGTCTCAGTTTGTAAATAGATGGATTTCTATACTTTAACTACTGTGTTGTAATCAATATAAATTATAACAGATGTATTTTGAGGGGTAGTATATAGTGTAATAAGAATAGCTAATATTTTAGCTCTGGTTGTAGATAGCCAAGTGAAAGCTCCTATTGAGAACTGTTTAATCACTTTGTTATCCTTTATTAAGATCAAAGCTAAACCCATCTTGAGTTCACAATCTGATATCCCTTTTTTATAGGAGCTATCAATATAGAAAGTAAGTTGATTAATTATATTTCTTTTGTTATATCTCAAAATACTTATAAGCTTATCTTTATGTTCTTTTGTTTGTATAGCTTGTTCTATTAATGTGATGTTTCAATTTTTTACTTGAATTTCTACTTATATAGGTCTAATAGTTGATAGAGTTACTATTTGATAATATGGATTTATCTACCAGCCTATAAGATTTCCAGACAGAAAGATTTGTTTTGTTTTTTTCAGATTGTTAAGTCTATTTAGTTGTAAACTTGTAATGAAATTACTTCTATTGACTGTACTATTCTATTTGATTAAAAATATGTATGATTTCTAGTAGAGTCATATACTAGCTGATATGATGTGAAATGGAGTTTGTTGTTTATGAATATTGTTTTTTTTAATATGTCTGTTAAAACATTAGTATAGATTATCCAATATGTTTTTCTTCTATCTAGATTTGTTGGAAATATATCAGTATGCATATTGTAAACTATTCATTTGAGTTCATGTAAAGAGTTTTGTAGGAGATTTTGATTTATTATTGTCTTTTTATAAACTTTTTTATACTAGAAGGAAACTAGTCCCTTGTATTTGCTAAAGAGAATTTGAATTGCTTTTTATTCTTTGAGTGTTATCATAATAGTATTGATAAGCTAATCTAGAAATATGATCTTATACTTGCATAGCAATAAAATGGCCTTTTCATATTCTCTATTATTTTATAATATTGATTTAATGAATAGGATATCTCACTGATAATTAAATGTTTTCTTCTATCTTCAACTTTGAAAGATAATTTGTATATTTTTTACCAGGGCCAGTGTTGCAACTGCCAAATTTCCTTTAATTAGCTTTTGAGAGTTGATAAGATTTTCTAAAATATTACTAAGCTTCTAACATTTAATTTGACTCTGTTTTAGTCTAATTATGGTGGTAATACCAGAGGTCTTATTATTATTGAGTTGACAGAAAAATACTGATTATGGCTTTTTAGTTATATTTTTCAGATACTCTTGAGACTATATATTTCTTTATTGTGAATACAACTGTTTGAGATTGTTTCTAGACTAAGGTCTTGTTCTTGAATATTTTTCTAAACATTGCTATAAGCTCATTGCATGTCTTTTTATTTAAATATATATGTTGCATTCTATATTCTATTCTTAGAATCAAGACCCTATTAATAATATATCGGATATATTTTTTTGTCAACTTTTTCTTAGTTATTGCCTGAATTATTGTTCTAATTTCTAATTCTATTAGATTGATAATATCCTAATTCTTTTGTTTTGATCTTACATCAAGAAATTTTTTTGACAAAAATCTTTGGAGATTTTTGGACATAAAACTCTAGAGGCTCTCTGTCATCATTAGAAGTTTCTGGAATAGAGATTTATATATAGATAAAGATGGTTCCCTAAAGAGGAAGGCAAGAACAAAAGTCAAATGTTCCTCATTAGGAAATATTAAAATTTTTAAATTAATAATTATAAAAAAACTATTCACAATTATTCTCTATTATTCAAATTATTGATTTATAATATTTCCTGAATTTTATCCCTATTAAAGTGAAGAGCTATGAATTTTGTTCCTCAAAAAAGGATATAAGTGATCTGTGAAATTTTATATACTAAATATTTTAGGAACTTATCATTATATATAAAACTTTAAAGATTTTTGAATGGTTTAAATTTTAATAAAATAATTTTATATTATTATTAAAATATTTATTTTAAAAAATTAATTTATTGAAAATTACTTTTTTTACATATTTTTATTAATTATTTACATTTACATCACTCATTGCCAAAGTAGATCTTTCTATTCCTATATTTTTCAATTACAATTTCAAATCATTTTTATCATTTTCTACTTCCTTCAAAGTATTTTAAATTTCAATATCTTCCTGCTTATATATTTCTTGATCTTTATCACTTGAATTGCCTTTTGTAAATCTGATTTTCTTTTTAATTTTTTCCTAAAATATATTATTAGTAAACAAATAATTCTATAATATTTTAAAGAATTTTAAAACTTATCTTATTTTTTCTATTTTACTTTTAATTGACATTTCATTAATTAAAATACTTTCATTACTCAGATTTAGAATCATTTGGCATATTGTAATAGTGAATGCAACTTGTTTTTCAGAGGCATCTTCTTTTGATCAGACTTTTTCAAGAATATATACCATCATGCTTTGGTTTTCCCCCTCTAGGACAGAAATAAAGATTTTCAAAGTACTCCTATATTTTTCACAATTTTTCCAGATCAGAATTTTGATAGTAATTGCATTTGTATTAATTATATTCAAGGAGTTTTTACCAAAGACTGAAAATATGGTATCCCAGATTTTTGAAGCCATGATTCTTCAAAGTGATCTATATTGTCTCA